AATCACCTCAAAATGAATCAAATCAGGTACGTCTTTCGAGTATACCGTATTTTTGCGGAGGGGTTTACAGGAAACCCACCTTCATAGCTCCTCGATTTGGACACCGAATCAAGCCCGGTTTGCCCGCTCCACGGCCAGGGCAAAGCTTCCGGGCGCCAGTGCCAACGCCTGGCGCCGTGTGCCGCCAAAGTCCTGCGCCCGGCCGGAAAAAGACCGGACGATTCGCGCATGGTGGGTTGGGTGGTTGCTGGGTTGCTGGGTTGCTGGGTTGCTGGGTTGCTGGGTTGCTGGGTTGCTGGGTTGCTGGGTTGCTGGGTTGCTGGGTTGCTTGGTGGGTGGGTTGGTGGGTCGGGTGGTTGCTGGGTTGCTGGGTTGGTGGGTTGGTGGGTTGTGGCTTGCTGGGTCGCTGGGTCGCTGGGTTGCTGGGTTGCTGGGTTGCTGGGTGGGTGGAATGGTGGGTTGGGTGGTTGCTGGGTTGCTGGGTTGCTGGGTTGGTGGGTTGGTGGGTTGGTGGGTTGCTGGGTTGCTGGGTTACTGGGTTGGGTGGGTGCTGGGTTGCTGGGTTGCTGGGTTGCTGGGTTGCTGGGTTGCTGGGTTGCTGGGTTGCTGGGTTGCTGGGTTGCTGGGTTGGTGGGTTCGTGGGTTTCTGGGTTGCGGGGTTGCTGGGTTGCTGGGTTGGTGGGTTTCTGGGTTGCGGGGTTGCTGGGTTGCTGGGTTGGTGGATTGGTGGGTTGGTGGGTTGGTGAGTTGGGTGGTTGCTGGGTTGCTGGGTTGCTGGGTTGGTGGCTGGCTGGGTTGGTGGATGCTGGGTTGCTGGGTTAATGGCTGGCTGGGTTGGTGGCTGCTGGGTTGCTGGGTTGGTGGATGCTGGGTTGCTGGGTTGCTGGGTTGCTGGGTTGCTGGGTTGCTGGGTGGGTGGGTTGGTGGGTTGGGTGGTTGCTGGGTTGCTGGGTTGGTTGGTGGGTTGGTGGGTTGGTGGGTTGGTGGGTTGGTGGGTTGGTGGGTTGGTGGGTTGGTGGGTTGGTGGGTTGGTGGTGGGTTGGGTTGCCAGTGGGCTGGAGACTTTGGGCTTTGCTTTGTGAGCTGTTTGGGACCCTTTTGACTCCCATATCATATTCTGTATACAAACGCGGTGAGAGTAATTCGCCTCCGTCAGATTCCCGCAGGCCGTGGGTCTGCAGGGCAGAACGAAGGCCTTAGAGACCGTGGATTGTTGAGCCAGCCTGCATCCTTGGTGACATCCAACTTCAAGAGGCGCAAGCCCTCAAGAGCACTGAATTTAGGTCAACCCCGACATTGCCAAAAGAACTTCGAAGTCCCAAATGATAGCCAGATCTGGTCTTAGAATTGATTTCTTGTTGCTCTCTTTCCATCTGCAATGCCCTGCTGGTTGTGCAGAATATGACCTCGAATATCCACCTTCAACACATCCAGCAGGTTTGCCGATTCAGCTTGCCCATGCCACCCAGAGGCTACCCCCACGGGAGCCACCAGCAGCACTTCGGTCGCCTAACACAAAGCCAACCATGCAGGCAGCTTGTCTGAAAATAGGGGCACCGCCAAAATGGCAAGGGTGTCCTTGTGGTTCCCCTCACAACCAACCAAAAAAGGACACCTCAAAAAAGACACGCGCGAATCCCGCTTTTAGCCCTGACAAACCCTTTGCAGGAATTCAGGTCATGGTTGGAACAGGATGCTTGACACTGGGTCTACTAAAATTCAGCTTGATTTGCGACAAAGCAGAAGTAAAGTAAAGCAGCGTTCACACTACCACGCCGCAACTTCTGCTTGGCATCACAGCCTGCCTGTCCGGTCAGCAGGCGAATCTCCCCAGCAACCTGGGGAAGTGGGCCGTGCGACTCAATGAGTCGGTTCCCCCGAGGTTTGTGTTGTCTGATAGAGGCAACAATCTCCCAAAACAAAAAAGAATGGGGCCTGCCCAGCCTGCCCAAAGCTTACTCTACCAACAAACCTGAGATGGTTGGAATCCCCAAGAAGCGAACTTTATTTTCATCATGGGTGTTCAATACCCCTGTCCTCCCCCTTTCCGGGACGTCCCCTGGAAACCTTCCTTGAACAAAAGATCACCATGCCCTTCCAAACCATCCGCCTGGATCTGCGTGGAAGGCGCCTCAGCTCAGCCGTGATGGCGCGACCGCCCGCAGGATTTGCCACATGTGCACGCAAAGTGCCTCACTCTGAGGAGCGAGCTCCAACCTGTGCATTGAGCGTAAGGTTCAGAAGCACTGAAGACGACCAGTTCTCCTTCCGCCGCAACATCCACACAAGAAAACCACTGGAAGTGCGAGTCCCAAAACATGTGAAGGTGTAGAGCAACCAGAGCATTTTCTGGTCAGTGAAGAGGAAACGGTCCGAAACCGGCCCTTTCGTAAGGTCGGAGGGGCCAAATCAACCCACGAAGCAATCCAAGAAACAAACCAAGGCAAACAAAATGAACACTACAACAACTTACCAAACCCCACCCTGCCACCCACCCCTTGCACTCTCCTGCATAAAACTGCTATTTATCAGCTCATCATTGGTGTTGATGGGCAAGGGCCTCACGCCAATTCCACGGGCATGGACTTTGACAAGGGGGCCCATGGAAAAGGCAATCGCTCATCAAGGGGTTCTGACAATTGCTATGTTTCTGTGAGACACGAAGCAAATGGCACTATCTATCAAGTGCCTGGAGTCAAGTCGGTCATACCGGATCTAGTACCTGGTTGGGTCCGTGACTGCCTGGTGGCGGAGCGGGGGGTATCTGGCGTGCCCCAACTGATCCGAGAATCGGAGTCGTCCATGAGGCCCAAAGCCTGTGTGCATGGTCTGAGAAGCAGGCTCGCCAGAGCGTTGCACGAAAAAGTTCAGGAATTTCCTGCAAGATGCTGCAATTGGTCAGCAAAACCAATGAAGCCCTGCAATCGACAATATGCAAGTTCAACATGCCCTCGATGCAATCCCTGCTCAACTCAGGAAGTAGAACCCTTGCTCCTCTGCAGATTGACATGGAGCCCAAAATAACACTAAAAGAGGAATCTCATTTTGGGTGGGCCTCTTTTGGATTCCATCTTCATGTTGGATTAAACTTGCAGCGGCGCAGCTGAACTTGTCCACAAACTCCCCAGCCCTCCTGCTCGCAGTGCCAGTGAACTGGACCAGCCTTGGGATGAAGCGACTTTGATGGAGCACAGCTGTTTGAATATGATGTGTTCGTCTCATGGAGGGTACCCAATATGGGTGGTGTCCCTCTCAAAACTCGAAAAAGAACGGTTTCATAATGTGGAGGCGCGCTATGATGGCGTGCACTGAGATCATGTCTCCTGTCGCAAGCGGACATTCAGCTGTAGACGGTGCGCGGCCTTGGCAAGAGCAAACTCATCTTCAAAAATAGCTACATGATGTGCTCCTATGTGTGGCACGGAGAGAATGCCATGCTTACTTCTCAAATAGTCAGCCTTATGTACTGATATTCTGTGATGGCTTTGCGCATGCCACTGCAACAAAATCCTGAGTGATGCACGCCTGCCACTATCATCCCGTCAGCCTGAGATGTGCTGGCAATGCTGTTGACAAGTGCATGGCTCATGGTTCTTGAGACAAGAACATAAGTGGTTCTTGAGACAAGAACATAAGTTCGTAACTGGGCAATACACAGATCGCATGGTTGCCTTTCAAACAAGTCACTGCGGAGAATGAGTGAAGCAGAGAAGTGCCAGGCCTTTTGCATTACCAAGCCGCTGTCACTTGCAAGGTGTTCCTGCCAATAGCCACGGCAGTGATGGGATAGTCCAACCTTGCAAACGACTCACCACGCCCAGAGAAATGCACTGCTTGGGTCATTATGGTCATTCTATTTTGGATTCTGAGAGTCCTCTGTCAGGAGCGCTTGCGTTCTGCATGTCTGCACGCAAGTGCCAAGTGCACCCCTCCCTTTGGAGCCTCCAAAACTTGCGCACCTGTACATTGACAGGTCTTTGACCGCATCTCTCACTGCCACTGCCAACTCTTCTTAAAAATTGGGGCCCTGTCCGAGTGCCGGGGTAGTTGGCCTAGGAATTACCAGCATCGAGCTCGATAATGTGAAGGAGCGCAAGCTGTACGTGCTCCTAAATGCAAGTCGCACCAGTCCGAGTTCCCGAGAAGGCCCTTCCAGCACAGCTCTTCTTACCAGGTGGGCTTGCGCGGGGCTCAATGCCTCCTCCGCCGGTCAGCAGGTCTCAAGACCAGTCAGCTGCTTGGTCAGCTGGCATTTGGATCTCCTTCCCCTTCTAGCTGCCAGCCAGCAGTCATGTGCGCGATTTTCCAATACCCACAGAGCCTGGGCAAAGCCCAAAGCCATGCGATCACGTGGCAAACAAGGGTCAAAGGGCTCACAAAGCCGGTGGAACGCCATGAAATCCGAGCGGCGCAGCATGAACCCCCTCCAGGTCGAAGAGGACGAGATGACTTCACCTCGGCAACTAACTTCCCTCTGCTTCATTGGACCCTCGCTTCCCCAAGCGTCCAAACCTCCCACGTCCCACGTCCCACGTCCGGGCGAGGGAGTAGGGTCCCGGCGATCTCTCTGCAGCTCCTCCGATGCCATCTGCAAAGCACGGCCATTCTGTCGCACAGCCGCCAGCACCTCCACCGCACCCATGTGACGAATTCGTGGCGGATTTTCTGGCGAAATGAATTGAAGGTCTGGACCGATTTTGTTCGAAAAACTGGCAGGTCACAAAAGTAACTGCAACAGGAAAAAATGGAGCAGCCGGCAAAGTGGCCACTTCTCCTTCCCCTTGCTTGGTGAAGCTGGCCGCAGGAACACATGCGCCTCTTGCATACCAAGGCGCCAGGTCTCTGTCACCCTTGAGGCCTTCTGAGACGAACTGCAGCGCGGCACCTCGGGCGTTTCCTGTGCTTCTGATGCACGTGTTTGCCAAATGAGCTGGGGTAAAAAGGGAAAATGGCACACGGGAACTTTTAGTTGAAGGGGGTGACTCCTCCGAGGGGTCTCCCACTCCGACTGGCCTCCACGCGCCGTTTGCTCGTATAGTTTTCATGTTCATTTGAAATGGCAAACATTCCCATGTCAAAAAAAGCCTGTGAGGAAAGATAGGATGGAAGTAAGCTAAAGCCGCTACTAATCTCAAACTTGTTCGCGAACAAAGGCACACCGCAAAGGAGATCGACTGCAAAACGGCACATCGCACCAAAGGAACGCAAAAGAAGACGGCCACAAAAGGTCTAAAAACGGCTGAATAACAGACAGAACCATAGAACACCGACGGAGGTACCAAACAAACATCTCACAGCCCCCCCCCCCGCAGGCACTCACAGACACCTCACAAACATCTCACAAAAACGAACAAACACGCAAGAAAAAAAGACAGACAAACAAACAAACAAACAAACAAACAAACAAACAACCAAAGCAAGCCAAGCCAACCCTGCCTAACCCAACCAACCAACCAACCAACCAACCAACCAACCAACCAACCAACCAAGCAAGCAAACAAACAAACAAACAAACAAACGTAGCAAGCAAGCAAGCAAGCAAGCAAGCAACACAACACAACACAACACAACACAACACAACACAACACAACACAACACAACACAACACAACACAACACAACACAACACAACACAACACCACAACAACACAACACAACACAACACAACACAGCACGACACTGCACGACACGACACGACACGACCCATCACAACACAACACGCAACGCAGCGCAACGCAGCGCAGCGCAACGCAACACCACACAACACAAAACAAAAACAAGGCCAAAAAAACATCAAACAACACAAAACGCAAACAAACAAACAAACAAACAAAGAAACAAACAAACAGACAAACAGACAAACAAACAAACAAACAAACAAACGAAAAACAAGGCACAGTTTACCATCTTTGTGAAGCTTCTAGGGGGCGTTTTAAACAACCTGTGCAAATCGATTGGCAGGGCAAAATAATACCAATCTTCACCCAGGCAACCAACCAATGTCTCCTCCCCCGATCACAAAACTACTGCCTGCGAAACAAAAGAACAAGTATGGGTGTGCTTTGCATTGCGGAGCGTGTACAGGTACTTTTCCGTGTGCATGAACTGTCCATAGTCGGCAAAGGCAGGGAACATTCCAAACAACCACCAGTAGCAAAACCAACCCATCAGCTTGCCGTCCCTTTGCGCCCTTTTGGGGCCTGCCCCTTCTCTTCGGCCCAGAGAAAAAGTGGTCGCCGCAGGCGCCGTTTTGGCGCAGCAGCGTCAGCATGGCCTCGCGGTCCCGGAGGAACCGCACGGAGGCCAGGCCGAGGGCGCTGGGGCTTTGGCGCACCGCGGCCTGCAGCACCTCGCGATGCTACCAAGCAATTGGTTTGATTATAGGAACACCAGGTAAATCAGGGCCCTGTTCTGCAAAGTTCTCTGCTCTCTGCTGCTTCTTCAATTTCTCTGTTCCCTCCATTCTGTGCATCTGTCCTTTGTTCCTTCTCTATTCACCCAAACCAAACAGGACGCTGATTCCCAAATGCACGGGCTGGAGGACTGGAAGGTCGAAGCGTTCACAACCACCCGGCTTCGCCGAGATATGCCGGCAATTCGGCCTAAGACCGGGATAGACTAGTTGCCCCCCGTTTTGGGACAAGCTTGGCACAGAAGGATCCTGCACTTCTGGGGGAGATATCACAATAAGGTCTGGCTTTGCCCCATGCACCTATTTGCCGCTTTATGAGTTCGAAAAGCGTTTGGGGAGAGGACGCGCCCCTGAAGTGGACTCCATTCCCAGAAAATCGATTTCTTTCATCTCACATCATCTCACATCATCTCACATCATCTTGTATCCCTTACATCACCTTACATTCACGTCCATGTGTACGAAACCTTCTGGACAGAGGATGTCAAGACCTTTCGAGCGAGTGTTACTCTGAAACAATGATCCCTTCTTCTCTGATCAGAAACTAACGACCAAGAGCATAGTCAGTCTTGTCATGTCTTTGAGACAGTTTCAGCTCTCGCCACACAGAGAGTCGAATTGGGCATGGAATCAAGGTGCATGAGGTTGGCAAAGGCAAGGGCGGAAAACCAAATATTCTGGGTCAGCCAAAGAGCAGTTATAGAAGGAAGAGGCAGCGATTCACGGCGGTGCCAGGAAACTAAGCTAGATCTAGGCTTCACGGGAAGTCGCCAACTCGCAAACTGGAACCAGGATTGCAAAATCCCGACTTGAACCTTGAACAGGCACAATGTGCCAAGAAAGAGAGCTGTTGACAGGTCTCCTGCGAAAGCACAAAAGGTGTATCACATGCATGCTCCGGCCATAGTGTGGTCTGTCTCCATAGAGTCCAATGGTTTGCTTGAGCGTGGGGCGTGGTAGCTTGATTTGTCGACTGTATTGACCGCTAGCCTGCTTTTCGGTCGGAATGCGGACGAATTATGATTGAGATCATTACTCTGGGCCGACGCTCACAAATCAGAGCTGAGAGCACACGCTCCCCTGCTGTTGTTGAACCTGGGGCACCTGGAGGTGGCTCAAGGTGCCCAAATAGCTTAAGAGGAAAGACCAGCAAAACTAAGATTGCAAGGCTGGTTTTCCGCCAACCGAAAACTAACAACCACTGGCACGCGGGCAAGTTCCCAAATTTAAAGAATCCGCCTCCAGGTCATCTCTGAGTTCCTCGCTGGCACCTGCAGCAGTTGAGTCACAGTTCGATTCAACCAGCACTCCTGGGTGCTTGCCTGTTGCAAGACCCTCTGATAATTCTCAGTCATTGGTTGGCCCCATCCCAGTGACAACAATTGACAACTGACCAAACATGATAGTTTCATGACCGCTACTTGGTGCAATCTAGAGTTGGGCTAATTTCATCAACCGCTTATGCTGACAGGGAAAGACTAGGTGCCACTGATCTCACATGATATCCGCGTCTTCGCATACCCAAGCTGCAGAATGGCTGAAGGTGCACACCCACACTCTCTCTCTCTCTCTCTGTCACTCTCTCTCTCTCTCTCTGTCTCGCTCTCCCTCTCGCTTTCCTTTCTTTTCTTTATTGTCCTTCATGTGTTCTCATTGTTTCTTTCTTTCTTTCTTTCTTTCTTTCTTTCTTTCTTTCTTTCTTTCTTTCTTTCTTTCTTTCTTTCTTTCTTTCTTTCCTTCTTTCTTTCTTTATTTCTTTCTTTTCTTTCTTTCTTTCTTTCTTTCTTTTCTTTCTTTCTTTCTTTCTTTCTTTCTTTCTTTCTTTCCCGCTCTCTCTCTCTCTCTCCCTCTCTCTCTCTCCCTCTCTCTATCTCTCTGTCTCTTTTCTCCTTCGTGTATATGCGTAGGAAAGTCGAAAATGGTTCCGAGCCGTCACCCTGAAGATTCTGGTGAGATATCAACATATTCGTCGATTGATGCTCATTGATACATTCATTGCGGTCGGTATCTGACTTGGTTGGCCTGTCTGGTAAATCAGCATCAACAGTCATCCACAGCTTTGTCATGGACAAACTTGAGAGCATATAATTCGGCACCCCCTTGCAGGCATCAAACCAGAGAGACCCAGAACAAGGGCTAACTACTTGAGTATCTGGGTTCCCCACGTTCCAAGGCCCGCCAGTCCAGCGTCACAGCTGCCAGCACCACCTCCTTGTCGCTGCAGAGTTCTGGCGCCTGCCCGCGCAGCTTGGGGTGGGCTGGAGAGGCTGCCTCCACAAGAGCCCTCCATGCATACAGCATGTGCCTCCGTTGCTGACGCCCATTTCAGCAAGACACCTCCAACACGTTCTTCAGGCCCAAGACACCCAGAACAAAGGGGTGGCAAGGAGATATCATACAAATATCCAGCCAGACATACTCGCGCATGCTTTGTCTTTCCCTCTCTCTCCCGCCTCCAGGAGCGACCAGTCAAATGACCACCACCTGCGCACTGCTTCCACGGGTTTTGAAGTGGAGAGAGAGAGGCATCACCATCAAATCCAAAAATCCCCTTGGCCCGGGCTCCCTGCCAAAATGGACGCAGCCCAACTAGAAACTGCCGAAATGCGGATGTCCCTCTGCTGTGTCCTCCGAAGCATGACTCTGTAGCTTGGAAAGAAAGCACCCTCTCAATTCGTGGAAAGCATCCAAATTGACCGAGTGCCACTCAAGCCGTCTGCCCCGGGCCCCAGCACTGATCCTTGCTCAACCTACCAAAAATAGTGTTCTCACCTGGGTGTGGGTCAAAACTAAACCACCAGGGGACCGCAGGTTTGAGTCATGGGTTCCATTTACCAGGGTTCCGTTTTGGGTACCCATTTTGGACCCACGGCCAATTTTAGGAATGAGCTGTGCACTTCACCATGGCTCAAGGCCCAGCTTCCCAGCCTCCAGGCAGCACATCTCAGGACCTCTGGGTCAGTTCCATTGGCCTTTGTGGAACGTGTTCTGCGGTTGTGTGGCTTTGTGCGGGTTTGCAACTCTTCCAATGGTATCGTTTCTCTTTATCACCCCTAGCGCCGAGTCACAAAGTGCAAGCCAGAAGCCAGGTTTCCAACCTTGCTCCCCTCCTGCCCAAAAGCAAGGTCCGTGAACCTTTGGCTTTGTACTCACATGTTTTCACTTAGCTTGCCCCAAGGGAGCACCGCCACCCCAGCGGGGCATTTCTCAAAAATTAGGGACCCCTCCACATTTGTTTGCTGCAACCTCCTCTTAATATTTCCTTTTAAAAGGGAATCTGCCACAAGTGCCTTCCACCCCCCCCCGTCCCCCTCCCGCTTAGCCTCAAAGTCCCGCCGCAACTCGGGCACCGCGAAGCGCAGGGCCCGGCCCTGCGCCCGGACCGCCGCCAGCACCACCCCGCGGTCCGCCTCGCGGGAGACGAGGCACGTCTGAGACGGCTCCACTTTTGGGGAGCTGGTTTGAGGGCGCCGTGGCTGGGGTGATCTGATCACAGATGTTGTTTTTGGAGCCCACCCTTTCGGGGGGGGGGGGGGTCCTCCAAAAACACGCCCATTTAGCGAATTGGAAACACGCCGAGCGAGGTCCTGCACCTTTGACATGGCCGAATGGCAAATTTGACAAAGGCCAACAGAAGTGGGGGGAAAAATAAGCTCATGCGATATCCCCAACTTCATGCGGTGCTCTTTTTAGTGCTCGCACCACCCCGCAACCCTCGCAGAACCTCGTGGAACCCTGGTGGAACCCTGGTGGAACCCTCGTGGAACCTTACCTCAGGGCCGCCCCGGACCACCCCGAAGCCTATCTGGGCTGAGACCCCAAAGCTTCCAGCTGTTGGGAAAAACAGAAGAAGGGAAAAAAAGGTCTTGCCTCGTTGCAGCTCTTCGCAAATCCTTGGGAGTGCCGCGTTATGTAAAGAAAACCTCACCCTGCATCCGCGCCTGTAGCTTGGGACACGCAAGCTCCAGCAGCATGCCCTGCTGCTGCACGGCACACAGAACCACCTCGCATGGCAAGGCCGCTTGGCAAGATTGGAAGAAACCCTCCAACCGAACAGGGCGCCATTTGCGGTCCTTGTCCACCTGCACGGGTTGGCAGGGTTTTTGATGTGTGAAAGTTTCACACGTGCTTTGGCCCAGTTAGAACATTGAGACAGGTACGCAAATAGAACAATGCCTTTTTTTCTTTGTCCTTGGTAGCAGGGCTGGCAAGTTGTGCCTTTCAAGCTTTACTTGGCAGGGACATTCGAGCAGGCAGTTGCTTCTCAAAGTCGGGGAACAAAAGCCAGCAAAGCATGCCGCAAGGCAGGAGCAAAGTACGGCCGGCAGAAGCATGGTTGGAAATGGCCAGTTCCACCCACAACGGGGAGTTCCCCGGAGGGCCCCTCAGATCTGCCCAGACAAGCATCGAAGCACCTTGGAAGACCTCAATTCCTGGCATGGGATAAAACCAAGGTTGCTTGCTTGCCCTCCGGATATGTTCTGCAAAAAGTGACTGTTGGCATAACACTGCTTGCGCAGTGCTCCGAAAACAAATACAAGAGTTATGCCGCTCAGCTGTGCTCTGCCACCCTTTTTTGCCATGGCGCCATCCTAGGAAGAAGTGACTCAAGGCTCATATCTGAGTGGCAATACTTATGGCCTGCCTTTGTATGGATAGGGGTCGCGGGGGTGAAGTGCACCGGCAAAGACTCTAAATCTCAGTACTTGTCAAATATGAAATGGCCGTGGGTCAAAATTATGTACCCAAAATGGAGTCTTGGTAAATGGAAACATGGACTGCAACCTGCGGTCCCCTGGTGCAAATTTTGACCCACACCCAACTGATCTTCTTCCCAACGGCAACGACAAAAGTTTGACACATTGGCATGAGGAATTCCCGAGGCACTGCAAGTGCACGGGAAAGATCTTAGCCACGTTCATCTTACCCACGCGGCAGGCAGACTTGCAGTATTTTGGCAACTCACTATACGAGTACCTACCTCATCCGGCTTTCGTCTGTCCACTACGACCCACAGTTTCATATTTCATTCCTTCCCCTCAGCCAGAACCAAACCAGGATAGGAATGCCAAGTGAACCCACCCCCTCCCCTTATTCCATTTACAAAGAAAAGACATGCCATTCGCACCTACTCTCCCACCCCGCCGGCACAAACAGGCACCTCCCACCTGCCTCCCGGTCCGCATGCCACTCCTGCAGCTGCCGCAGCGCCAGCGCGTCCGCGCACACCGCGCCCAGGGCCGCCGCGCGGCTCAGGCGCAGCGCCTGCTGGGGGCGCTAAAGGTAGCTGCCTTTGGGCCATGGCAGTTTTCTCGGTTCTCACCTGGGCCTGCCTCAAAATAGGGTGGAACCGTGTTTTTTGGGGGCTGATGTAAAGGGAACCCAAAAGGAAACCAACCATTTTGGGGGTTCCCCTATTTTGACAGAAACCTGCATGTCCTTGCCGAATGGTTTTGCTGCCCGCTGTCTTCAGCCTGGTGGTTTGTGCAGTGTGATGTGCTTCTGCCTCTTCCTGGAAGAGCCACTCCCAGTCAATGAAGAGGTAGCGGCCTCGGCCATGCTCCGCCAGTCGCACTCCCTGAAAGCTTCGTCGACCGGATATGATCCATGGGCATGATTCCGGCTTCATGGTACTTCCCCAAACAAGATAGGAAGACGTCCAGCAGTCTTCATGAGCAAAGAACGAGTCGTACAAGTCTCTATGAATCATCCCAGTGGGAATCATGAACGGGGCACGTGTGAATTGTAGCCATATGAGCAACGAACGGTCAATCCCCAGTGACAGCAATCCAATTTGGCAAGTGTGCCCCATGTCACCACAGCACATGACCGTTGACTGTTGCTCATGCACTCCGTGGTCCAGATTCAACCTTGCATCCACTTCAGGGAGCGCTGTTTTGCTCCAGGTCTGCCCCCGCCGAACAAAAGCCATCGCAGACTCGCTGCTCTCAAGAGGATTCTTCCGACGTGTCTTTTTTGGAGTGGCGGATGTTCACTGGGGGTTTGGTTTCGCCAATCAACTACAAATCCCGCAACATCAGACGTCCATGAGGCCATGCGCCAAGGCACGCGCGGCCGTGACGATCAGCGTCCGGTCCTTCAAGCTACGCCCCGCGAGATTTTCGCACTGCGTTGGATCAAAAACCGGTGGACCCTTGGAACTGTGTTCCATGCCCAGGGAAAAGCTCTATGGATGCGTAACGATTGATTGAACCGGCACAGAACATACTCAGGACGCAACAAGCAAACCTTGAACTCTGGGCTTCATTTTTCGTGTTGACTGCCAGCTTGCGCCATTGAACAACGTGCAGAGTTTCAGAGCTAAAGCAGAAATGGCGACCAAATCTACAATGCCTCGGCAAACGTCGGCATATCTAGCGCCTTGCGCAAATTCTTTTCAGCTTTCTGTGTCATTAAGCACACACAGACCCTGTTTGATCTTCTACTTGCCGGATGCCACTGTCCACAAATGAGTCAAACAAATCACGCTACTCAGCATCTGGCTGCTGCAAACTTTCCAACAACAGCACAGTCACCAGCAAAAAAATGCTTGCTGTCTGTAGAAGCTTTGCAATCTCGCTGAAGAACATGCCCAGATTGGCAAGGATCCACTTCCGCTGCCCTGGGAAGCGCGGACCCAGCGGCTGCGGCGCAAACCCGATGAGGTTGACATCATCAAGCTACGTGGTTCCTCTCGCAGGGCGCCTCAGCCTTTCTCTAGTCGCAACGGCTCAGACACCCTTTGCAGGAAATTGTGCGGCTGCCCTACATTCTTCTGGGGCAAGCGCATGGCGGACATTGTAGCGCATCTGAATGAGGCACGCTGCCATTCGTCTCCAATGAGCTGCTCTGCAGGAACTTTACAGAAGTCGCTGTTTCAGGCTTTAGGCCCTTGTGCCACCCAAAAGACCTCTACCGGAAAGCGGTGGGAGCGGCCGGTGGCAAACAAAAGTCTGAGTCTTTCCAAACAAGGGAGGCTGCACGCCCAACGATGAGGCCCTCCAACAGACTGTCTTCAGCACCTTCTTGCTGCAACACGCTCCCAGAAGGGTCGGCAAAGGATGCGCCCTCTCTGCATCTAGAGCCAAGCGTGCACCTAGCTCGCTTTCGAAGCGGAGCATGTTACGGCGGCCAGGTCTCGGCGCACAAGAAGACCCAGAAGCGACGAAACCGTTCGCCCCAAAGGCCAAGGCGCGCGGCAATCCAAAGGGTCGTTCAGTCCGTCGGAGTGACCCCTCGATAGAACTGGGCAACAAACTGAGAACCAATGATCGAATGAGAAGATGATTCTCCACACCTTGGCAAACGCCCCTTCGCAAGTCTGTCGCAGCTGGTCTCCTAGGTGCTCCTACGCCTATAGTCGGCCTGAAAGAGCTTGAAAGCAAGACTGAACGAAGGGTGTGTCTGATCTGTCTCAGAAAAAGCTTCAAAAAGACCTACTGAAGACTCTCAAGAATAGGATTTAATATTCTTCGTCATGTGGTGCAATCGCGCTACAATCTTGCTCCAGTTTCTTGCTGGACAGAGGCAAGTGACATCTCTTTTTCGGAAAAACTTCCATCAAGACTTTCGGCCCTCAGCCAGACCCCCCAGAACTGTGTGCGACAAGAGGCCTGCTTCAGTTCATCAGCAGCAAACCTCATCCAGGCCGCAGCCATCGTGCAAGCATTGCAGTTCAGCCAGAAAAGCTTCTTGTGACTCTCTCTCTCTCTCACATAGTGGAAACCTCAACGGAACATTAAAGAACAACAACCGTCCGGAGGGACAAGCATTGTATTGAACACATTATATACTTATATAAATGTACACATACATGTGTACACAAACATTGATATATACATATATCGTGTGTGATTGCGCGCACACAACCACACACACAAACGCTTCCACACGCACGCGCACGCACCTCCACACCCACTCGCATGCGCATGAGCACATGAGCACGTAAAAATAAATACAGTGTGCACCACGAATGCATCAGCTTTAGGAACTCCAGCTGAATTCATTGAGGAATCAACCAGTCCGCTGCCAGGATGCTGGAGGGCATGGCCGTTCCGCACCACCGCAGCCAGCACTAGGTCTCTCTGGGAGCACAGTGCCTCAGACTTCGATCACTATCAACCCCATCTGGGTGTCAAAACACCTGCCAGTCGTTCGGGTAAATCATGTTGGTTCTCTCACAAAGGTGCCTAGCAACAATGCCAACATGTGGCTTTAGAATGTGCCGCGAGTCTTTGCAGCATCAACTCTCTCAAGGAATCCTCAGACTTGAGGTGTGGCTGAATGGTTAATTTCACCATAAAAAAGGGGCGGGGAGTGGGGGGGGGGGGGGCGAATTCATGCCTCATAAGCTTCGTCTGAGGGTGGTGTCGCTTGCACAAAATCAAGTTTCTGCTTCACTGCGAGTACCAACGCGGGCCCGAGGATGGGGATGAGATGGGCTCGTGGGCTCTCCCCAGCCTCCGAGGCAAACTCCAGCGCCATAGGGTTGTTGGCCACGGCTTCCCGCACCACTTTGAGGTCGCCGCGAAGCTCCTCCGAGGCAAACCTGCGCGACTTGGTCGTTGTTCGAACCTGGCCTGGGTTGGGCAACCCATGGCATACTGGTGTGTCATTTTTTAACGGTACTTTTTGGGGGGTTGGTAGAAATGGAAACCAAAAGGAAACCAACTACTTTTGAGGGGCCCCTATTTTGAGGCACGCCCATATCACTGTCACAAAGAAACCACATGCAAGCCCTCGAACAAGAGTCCGTCAATCTGAAGACGGCAACGAAACATCCATGCCTTCACATGCCACACCTGCCAATGGCACTTCATCTAGGATTTCCCTACAGTGGCCCTTTGTCGCACAAAGATTGCCACGATATTACAAAAGAATGGGGCCCCTTCCCTTGAAGCGACATTGAATTGGGGGTCCAGGGGATTCCTGCTTAAGACCAACCACACAACCACAGCCGGGCACCATTTTTGTTGAGGGTACCTTGTTATTGAGTTGATTTCCAGGGAAGCCAACCTACTTTGAGCCAAGTCGAAGATTGGGTCAACCGCGGTCTAAGCATATTCAAACCACTCTTCTTTGAGCCACCTCCTTTTTAGATTTCAAGGGACCCACTTTTTCAGGAAACACATTGACACAGAAAACCGTTGGTTTCGCCAGCCCCACGCCCCAGCCCCAGCCCGGCGCGCCCCATCCGCGTGCCCGGCGCCTCAGCGCCAGGCCGTCCTGGCGCAGCGCCGCCAGCACCGCGGGGCGGCAGCCCTGCAAACGCACCGCCAGCTGCAGCACTAGGCCGTTGAGGCCCACCTTGAATCGGAATCGGTCGCTTCAATCCCGGGTCAGTCACGTCCAGCCTAAGGGAGCTCCAAAATAAGGAGAAAAAGGAACACGGGTGCGTGTCATTCACGTCAAGCCTTCAAAGAGAGCTCCAAAATAAGACAGAGAAACACGGGTCAAGTGTGCGCCTGGTTCAAAACGTGCCAGTTGAGCCAGTAGCGGTGCCCAAAACTCTTGTGTAGAGAGCTGTACCATGAGTTTGCTTTCGCAGGCCCGTTCGCAACTTTCGCAACCACAGTGTTGCTTTTGCCGGCTTTGTTTCAAGTAGAAATGCTTTCGCGGCGTATCGCAAGCTTTCGTGGCCTGCGTGTTTGCTCTGCGGGGCTCTATAGGACACCCTCCCCTGTGCTACTTTTGAGCCCTCGTTGCACAATGGACCCTGCATGGAGGAGAATGGGCACCAATGCCCCGTCAAGACTTGTGGCCTGGTTTGCTGTAGACTTTGGGACCCATATCCGAACTCCGTGCATGATAAATCCCCATTCATTCTGAAAGAGCCCCCGCCCGACCATGTTCTGCTCACATGGCAGCATGACAGTACCTGTTGCAGTAGTCCAGGCGCAGCGCGTCTCATGAAGTGCATGTCGCTACGGAGCTTCTCCGAGATCAAGTGAGCAGCTTCCCAGTCCAAGCCTGGCAAAGGACGGACACCAAATCAAGACTCGCAGGCACAAATCATCTCACCAAGCAGGCTGCACATGTTTGACTTGCTGACCTCAAGGTGCATTGGCCTTGTCGTAGATCAAATTGCGAGATCTTCCAGGATGTGCAAACACACAATCCTAGAAAAGCTTTGCTCAAAACCATCCTAGTGCAGCGTCGAGACAATTGTTTTGGGAGGTGGTGCATGGTACATCTCCGTGATTCTGTTAGTCTTTCTCAGAGGAGGGGGTGCTCCAAACTTGGCCTTTGAAATTCAAGCCACAGGTCGAAGGTCCGAGAATGCTGAGGCGCCAGCTTATGGCAGTCAGCGCCACATCCTCGTCATTAGCCAGTGAAGGACCTCAAAGCCAACTGCCAAGCTGGTGGAGAAAAACTTCCACCCGACCAAACAGGAAGACCCACATAAAACCTCTACATGTGAACAAATTCGGCTCAATATGCTCTTCCTGCCACGTTCCTTCTTCGTCCGAGGGCCGAAACCTGTTCAGGATGTCAGAGTCTTACTTATGCATCCGTACATACGTGGCTAAACATGTATTGAAAGCACTTAGGGTGCTAGTACAAGGAAGCTTCCTCTTCTTTAAAGTTAGCCTCACTTTTCACGTATGTGTAGTATACAAGCAACATCTGCAACTGCTTGTTCGCACCATACTGTGGACGAAATCCTGCACCGCCTAATCCCCAACAAAAAGGAACGATTCCCCTGCACATAGCAACAAATACTGGTTTGAACCATCGGTTTCTTCGGCGCGAGCTTCGGATTTCAACTCCATCTCCGTCGGCTTCAGCCGGGCCGCAGTCGAAGACGCGGCGCCAGTCGCCGCCGGCGGCCCGCACCACGGCGGCGCTGCGCTTCAGCGCCGCTGAGGCCTCGAGGCCGAGCGACTGGAGCAGGCAGCGGGGTTTTGTCGAAAACCCAAACCCAAGGCGTTTGTTCAAACAACAAAATAGACCCAATGCATGTAGGTGTCATTCTAGTTTATTTTGTGTTGGCTCTATTATGTGTTTTCTCTTTTTTTGAGAAGAGCAAACCCAATGCATGTGACGGTTATATTAATTAATATATATATATATATATATGTGCAAAATGTGCGTTGCTCACCAGAATAGATGGCAACGAGTAAGAGGGGTCGCCATGATGGTTGTACCAAGTTTGGGGCTGTATGTTGCTAGGAAGAAGAAATGATAGATTTGCAAACTGCAATGAATCCCCCAAAAACTATCAAGGTATTGCATTGCAAGGGAGTGGCTCAGCTTGGTGCTTTGAAGAAATCCCACGCAGCTCCAGCTCCATGGAGGCATCAAGAGCCAAACATTCTGACAGTGTTTGCTTCTACAAATTTGCTGGCAAGCCCCACTCTGCAACTCACTTTGAATTGGCCCAGGAAACTGCTGTTTGAGGCCCCTTTTGGAATCATCACAACTGTGGCCAAGTGTCAAACTGCAGGGCCCTGGCATTCTGCATCACTGCAGTCATCACCTCAGTCTTGCCAAGCAGGGAGCGCAGCTTGGGCAGTATGCCAGGCCGCCCAGACTCTGAGGGCTCAACCAAGCAACCTGATTGTAGGTGCCCCGGACACTATGCGTACATACGTGGCAACAGGATAGGAATAGGATTGAAAAGAAAAGGGATAGGATAGGATAGGATAGGTAGGATAGGGCAAGATAGGACTATATGCCAACTCTACGGTGTGGATGAGACCTTGAGCTGACGAGAGCGTGAGAGTGTACCTGCAGCCCAGCTGCCAACTCCTCGTCTTCTTGATGCCTGTCGCAGAACTGGAGAGCAAGGCCCGTCTGCGCCACAGCGGCCAAGGCCAGCGCTCGGTCTGCTCGCCTGAGGCTTCGTGTCCGCTGCATCTACCCATTGGCGACCTCCCTAGCCGCTTGCGAAGAACATGCAAACCATGAACGTGTGATGCTTCGGACCAACCCCCGAACCGGAAAGCGAAACAAATAGGCTTCCTAGACTGTCAATGCTGTGCTTGTTTGACTTAACTCGCCCAAAAAACGAACCACGACTGGGTTTCTGTTGTTGTTGTTTTTTTTTGGAGGGGTACACTCTTTCGGTTGGTTGTGCTTTTGGTTGGTTTTGAAGCGTGTAAAGGGAAACCAACAGGACCCCCCCAGCCATTTTCAGGTGGGCACTCCCTGTTTGTTTGATCGCACTCCCTCTGATTGGCGGTTCTGATTGATCGTGTGGGCCTTGGCCTTGGTTTCCTATGATTCAAAAAGAGTGGTTCGGAAATGTCCAAACCAATCAAAAACCTACCCTTTCCTCCCGCTAACAGAAGGCATTTCTGGAGGCTACCTGCAAGGTCAATTTCCTCAAAGGACCCTTTGTCAGGTGCCATGGTCAGTGGGAGGCCCTTGGACCAACACGAAGTCCAGGGCACAGGCGTGGAGAGGCGAAAGCTAAAGCCCGGCCATCGCGCTGCACCGCCGCCAGCACCAAGCTGCGGTCGTCCTATTCCGCGGAATAATGATGATGATGATGATGATGATGATGATGATGATGATGATGATGATGATGATGATGATGATGATGATGAAGATGATGATGATGAAGATGATGATGATGATGATGATGATGAAGATGATTATGAAGATAGTGACAATGGAATAATAACAACCATGACAAATATAATAATAATAAGAATAATAATAATCATGGTAGTAGGTAACAGTAGTAATGGGAATAATAAACATGGTGATAAAGATGATAACGACAATGACCACTATCAACATTGCAATGATAAAAAGACAGTCTGACCCAAAGATGCCACCAACACAAATAAAACCCTGCATTCGTCACACCGCAAAGGACCATCACATTTCATTGGCTCAGAAGGTGGGTTTAAAACCACCAAAAAGGACATGCAGGAACAATCAACAGGGTTTTTGGGGTTTTGGCCATGTTGCCCTTGACCAACTGGCAGTTTTTGGGTCAAGTTGGTGTCAGAGCTTTCCAAATTGCCCTGCCCCCAGTCTTGGGTCGAACAACCACAGTCAGAGACAGAAACAGACCGAACGGCTTTGGCAACAAGGCAACAAGGGATACTGCGAAAAGGCATCCAGCTCCGGAGGTAAGCCCCATCCAATGCTCCCCCGGCCGGCCGCTCCCTGAGCTTCTCGCTGGCATACTGCAACCGGATGCCCTCGCACTGCACTGCAGACAGCACCACCTCACCGATGGTCAACACTGGGAAGCCTTCAAAAAAACCCCTGCTCCATCGCCTTTCAAGATTCAGTCCTTCCAATTTTGATCGTCCTAGCTGGAGCAGCTGAGTTGCACCTCGCACCAGCTCCAATTGGTCAAGCCGAAAAAAAGAGGAAACAAAAACATGATAACGCGATGGATGGGCACGATTCTCGCCAAGTAATTATTGCAGACTGCCAGAGTATGCCTGGTAATCCACCGTGTCACCCAGTGAAACTCCAGGCTTTCCCGATTCAAGTGTGAACGGAATGGCACCCTTCAGCGACAACAAGTCAAACACTTGTAATGTATCTTTGGTCAACCAAAAGGGAACACTGGAGGAGCACCTAAACCCATTGACTGTCGGCTCTACCAAGATTGTCATCAAGGTTGTCATTGTTTGCCCCTCACCACCCACAACCCGATCAAACCAAGTTGAACCCTCAATTCGCCCACGATTTGTCGCCGAATCGAGAGACTCGGCCTCACGGTCCCCTCGCAGAGTCTCGGCACAGCGCTCATCGCTGAGGAACTGCACCACGTCTCTGGCGTAGTGCTGGCAATTGCCTCGATTCACAGCACTTTGCACTAGTTGCATGAGGCATTTGTTGCTCCAAGCCTTGGAGCAAAAGCTGGGGAGTCATGCGTTTTGCTGTTCAGTGTGGCATTGTTCGGATGTGCGGCTCGTTCAAATGCGCGGTCCAGTAGTTCCCAGCTCTCTCAGGGGACGAGGAACAAACAAAATTGGCTGCCCGCCAACTTTGGCCCCACACGGAAAAGAATCGATTGCAAAACCCGAGATGCTGTCCAACTCTTAGCCCCTGAACCAACAACACCCGACCTGGAAATGCTTCATCCAAGGGCGCTGTTGATCAAGCAGTAGGGCCGCCAGACAATCGCCAGCGGTCCAGAGATCCAATCCACCAGTTCCCGAAGCGTCACATAGCGCTCCACCTTGCAGTGAGAGTGCTGCAGGCTCGGCCTCCTCTGCTCGCCTGGGCCCACTGGAAGACATGCACAGACCCTCCTGGGCTTCCCTTAAAACATCACCCCCACCAAGGCACACTCACCTTTCATGGGCCAAAAAGGTGATGTTTCAAACCACCAAAAAGGGAAATATAGGGACCCCTGCCCTCCGTGCCTTTCTGTCTCAAGGATTCTTCTCATGGATGCGCTTTCCCCTTTAGCAAAACCATGGCCTGTTGCGCGGTAGCATCTGCCATAGCTCCGCACCAGCTGCAGATCTCCAAACATCAACTCCAGCTTGTCGTTGTACTTCTCCGTGCAAATTGCCAGGCCGCCTCGCGGTGTGCAGATCCGGGGAAAATAGCAAAGCCCTGATGCTCTACTGTGTGCTGAATGCCGTGATGTGGCGCATATGAGTTGCCCAAAGGTCTGCTATCCGGGAGGGATTGTGAACTACAAGGATCCTGGTGGCTTCTGACAATATACCACACACTTTCCTGCAAAGCAGCAGCGTGCAAAATGATGCGCCCCCTTTAGGCGTTCGGTAAAGTGGAATTCCAGCCAGTGGTGAGCCAGTCTATTTCACTGTCACTTGTCGGTGCCTTCCACCTCAAGGAACATGAAGGCGTGGTAGAAGAGCAATGTCATGTACCTCGGTAATTGTCACGATTGAAACTGTTCCAGCTCAGTGACCGGCAGACTTCAGCCTCGCCAACCAAGTCTTCCTCTGCAAGGGTTTGTACCAACTCCTTGCCTGGATCTCAGACAATTACAAGCTTTGTGACAAATATTATGCTTGAATGATGTTGTTTCCGGGAACCAGCAAAGACCCATGGATCATGGCACTCGTTTCATGCAAGGGTCGAGTTCGATGCTGCAACTCATGGGATCAACCTTCTTCATCTCACGTGCAATAGTCATCCCTTTTCGGCTCTCTAGCCCGTCTCCGCACAGGCGCTGGCCCTCGCTGAACTTGGAGCGCCACTCCGAGTACGCGGTGATGGCTGCAGAACTTGGACCGCAGTTCAGCAGCTCTGCGGTGGTCACCTCCAAGCCGAGAGTCGCTAGCTGCGGCGGCAGTCCGGCGTTGGGGGAGGCGCTGGGGGCAGGGTGTTGGAGTGTTGGGGGAGTGCGGGGAGTGTTGGGGGTTGAGGAGTGTTGGGGGGGTTGTGCAAAGGGTGTTGGGGAGGTAGGGGGGTTTGGTGGGGTGGTGCTGGTGGTGGTTGAGGTCAGCGTGAGTGCAGGCTTGTGTCAGACGGTGACATTTTGTCATGTCAAATGCTCTGTATCTTCGAGTGTCAGCGGCCTTAATGTTCCACTTATTGCCTTCTGTTTCCTTCTCTTTAGCGGCTCTGTAGATAGGCAACCGCCCAAATCCGGCGATCCTAACCCAAGATAAGGCCTCCCATTCCCGCCCCCACAACGGACCCCTGCTGCTTTCGCACACATGCAGCCGCCCATACAAGGATCGCGCAAATCGATGGCTTCTATCAAACCAGCTTGGCCCGGATTGGAAGCAAGACTGATGCAAGAGCCAATCTGAACGCTCAGGTTCGCCTCCTTAACCTTGACGTAGACTCCATCAGAAACACGTCTGGCATCTGGATCCTCCGCGCCGGTTGCCAGGATCTCCCTGCAAAACACGCCTCAGCTGTCGCTGTTGCATGAAGCCGCTCCCAACCCAAACAGAAGCACACACAAACAGACTCTTGGAGACACAAAGAAGAGCTTCCAATGCTTGTACCATGTTTTACCCGCGATGCGGAGATGTTTCAAGTGGAGGCATCCCTGAACATTGATCTGATGCCTGCGAAATCACCAAAAGATTCCGCCAAGAGGCTGTACGTCCAGCTGTCTCTATTCGCCCGCGACGCGCAGGCGTTGTCGACCAAGGGGAGCGAGGCCAATCTTTGCAAGCTCTCCATTGCTGAACATGGTCCGAAGGGAGCGAAGCTTGCGAGCTTCAACAGTGCCTGGTATCACGTTCCTTCGAAAAGGGGATCTGGCGGCAACCCAAAGCACACCCGTTGGCAAGTGGAGTGCTCATAGTGGTAACTTGGCGTAATTGGAAAATGCTTCTACGCACGGGTCTCTACTTGAAGGCCAGCTTGCCTAGAGATCATTCCACTTCTCGAGCCAAGCCGAGCAACTTCGAGATGTACAGACCATCCAGAGCATCTTCATCCGAATCCACTCAGTTTTGTCCAAGACTGCTGGGGATAAAATAAATGCATCGTCTGAGGAACCTGTCACAAACCACGCGGAAAAGCCAGTGACAGGTCAGCCTGAGCCACCGGACACGAAGCCATCGCCCACCCTCTTCAGCGTCACCTCCTGAGCCGAGTCAGAGATGCAGTTGCCAGGGTCAGACTCTGAAGCTCCCTGCGTTCAGCATGCATCCCGACATGTCATGTGGCGTTCAGCATCCTCGCCTGGAACATCTCGAAAGTGCCCGTTGGATCATCCAAGGTGATGATGTCCCCCGCAACACATGCCTCACAGTCCACGCGAGTCTGCAACATGCACAGGCAGAATAGCCGAAGAGGGCGGCAAGAAACCCTAGTCCTCAAGTTTGTCTGCCAAGGTCAAGAGGTGTTTTTGTCAGTGCTTCTGTTGTTTTCCTCGCAGCTAGTACAAGCTCTAGTTCAAAAGGAAATAAATCTGCGCCGCATGGAAGCAGGGGAATAGGGCTCAGCGCCTGCGAGACGGTGAAGTCAAGCGTCAGAACCTCGCGGCGTGCTCAAGAAGTTCCTTTGGCGAAGGTTCTAACGTGAAAGCCTCCGATCGACTCTGGAAGCATTAACGAGTGAAACCGGGAAGGCGCCGAGCATTTGGCCGCATGTCCCCCGGAAAACTTAGGCTGATCTCTGCTCATTGTCACAAAGAATCTCTCCCCTGGAGCGTAGGCCTTGCCCGTTCAACAAGACAAATAAGCAGGTTGGAGCCGTCAATTCGTTCATGCGTTGCTTCTTAGCCTCATCTGCATCTTGGTGCAAACGTGTCCACCTAGCCAGCTGCGTAGATATGATAACGTTGCAGCAAGCAAAAGTGCAACGTAAAACCACCAAGCAGTACCCGCCTCGAAACCCCAAAATGAATGTAGACATCCAAAAAATGTTCGGCACGTCCTGGTTGTTTGTTTTTTGTTGAGGGGGGGGGGGCTGGTAATGCAGTTGTTGAAATCCTTAGAGGCCAATGGACAAAAGCTCCCAGGCAAGGAAGTGACAAAGTTGACAAAGTATCTGGGCATGAGTAATTCCTCATCAAGAATCCATCCAATATCAACAAGCGCCCCACCGGTTGCTGGCTCCTAGTCTCTCGCCGAGGGAGGGGCCGTTTCGCGCGTCATCAACCGCGGGGGCAGCTGCTGGAAGATGGCATCCCCGCCATCTTGGAACTGGCGAACGGAGCACCCTGAAGCTGGATTCAATGCCCGGTTGCTTCGAAACAATGAGCAGCACTGAATCAAAATATTGCGCTGCAAGCATACTCCACGAGAAGCCAACAGGTAGCTGCAACTTGCGAATCTGGGTTCACCCAAACAATCAAACCAGAGTTGCCCTCCTTCGAAGTCTGAATCGTCTCTTGCCAACAAGACACCAATAAAAGTTGCCTGTCGGAACTCAAGCCACAACTTTGGTGCTCATGGCCATCCATTCAAGCTGGCCGGCGCCGCGAGAGTGCGGTAGAGAGCCACGTCCAAGTTCTGCACCTGGCCATGTCCACTGGCTTGAAGAGTCCCACGTCAAACGAGGTAACATGAGGCAAAAGATCAAGCCATCCCAGTCAGGGGTCGGCCAAAGTTGGCTTCTCGCTGCTGAGCTTCAACTTGGGCCCAACCTCTCCCTCTTTCTGCCCCACCCCTTGCTGCACCTCCAGAGCTCCTGGGAGGCGCCACTGCACCTCACAGCAAGGGAGGAACAAGCGAAATCTGCAAGGAGCTGCAGGCATCCGGCTGTGGCTCAAAAAAATGGTACAAAAATGGAACCCTGGTAAGTGGAAACATGGACCAAAACCTGCGTAACCCCATCCTGTTTAATTTTGAGCCACACCCATCCCTCTGCGACTGGTTCCCATGGCCACAGCCCTTGGGGGTCGGACCAATGTCCCGCTTGAATCCGCAGCAACCTGCGGAGGGTTCTATGACAATCAATTCTTGAAAACGGCTGCCAAATTTTGGAGAAGACACGGAAAACATGCGTGCGCCCGGAGAGAACCTGGGACTCCCACACAACCAGTGCATGCCAACACCCCTCATGTGCGTTGATTCTGAATTCCCCCATACTCACACGCTGACAGCGAACCGCACAAAGTCTGGCAGAGCAACGGATGCCACCTCGTCACCCAGTTGACCCACCGTGTAGGTGACCAGGTTGAAAGACGTGAGCCCTCCACCTGCAGCGAAGCAAGATCCCACGATCCTCCTTCCACAAGCTTGAACCGGCCTCATTGCTTTACTATCAAAGTCACCCAATGGTAAGCTCAAGGGAAGCAGCTTCTGACTTTGACCCCTAGTCAAAACGACCGTTGAAAACGGATTTGGACCAACCCGCCAAGCCTTGCGCCAGCTTCACTGTCCGGATCTCTCGGCGGAAGGGGACCTGCGCCTCAGGGCTCAGCCCCGGTTCCAACGAGTTGCTTGGGGGGGCAAGTCTCCGGTCGAACAAATAGGGGCCATGGTGCGATAGAGAAATTGGCGGGGGAAAAGCAGGCTTTGGGGGTGCTCTGGGGTTTGGCTGGGATTGCATGGAGTGCAGTGGAGTGGGACAGCCAAAACAACTCTGAGGCATGGCTTGTCCGGAATACTCACACATTCCAAGTAGCCTTGATGTCCTGATTCTCCAGGAGAAGAACCTGCCCAGTGAAAGGCTTGCTACAGTACAGTTGGAGATCGTCCAAGCGATTGGACTAATCCGCGCGCTTTGAGCAAATGCCAATACATGTGGCATCTCATACTATTCTTCATGCTATGCTGGTCGTGAAGCCACTCCTCGCGTGTATGAATCCATGAGTCCAAGATGATGCTGTGGTGATGTGTTGGCCCATACCAGAAACTCCAAGGTTGTGCTGGACAGGCAAGTGCGTCTTTACGCTTCGAACATCTTCGAAAGTGCCTCCGGAGCCGTCGATGAGACTGTCGGAGTTTCGCAGGCTGTCACCTGGGTGTGGGTCAAACACGATGCAGCGGGCACCTCGCTTTCCCAAAAGATACAAGTTGCGTTGCAAAAGTTGCCGCGTTCAGTATTCAGTGAGCTCGCACAGTTGCCAAAGGCTCAAACTGAAATGTTCAACCCATCTTGACTCATATTAGATCAGTACACTCACCCAAATACCTCCGAAAGGCTGCGGGCACTCGGAATTCTGACAATTAGCAACACCCTTGTTGAATCCCTTTCGAGCCAGCCAACTTTGTAAATATTCGAAAAGGGCGAGTATGTGCCTGACATACTCAAAGGCATTGGGTGGAGCCGCGGGTGAGAGGGCAGCTGTTAAAAAAGTCGGCCTTCAACATCCTTCTGCCACTTGCTCAACTTGTAATCTGGCCTCGCTGGTGAGGCACACTTCCGCTGCCTGCGCCAGGCGCAGGATATCAGCTCTGAAGTGAGGCCGTCTTTGACCCAATTTGTAAGTGCGCAACAAGCACAAAAATGAGGCTAAAAGAGATCCACAAGTTCATTCCATGCACATATGTGTCTCCTTCTCTCCTCATCTCCTTCTTTGCTTCCCTCCTTCTCTCCATGCTGCCTTCTCTCCTTCTGTCCTTCTCTCATCCTCTCCTTCTCTCCTACTTCTTTCCTCCCTCTAGTGTTGAAGCCATCCGTGAAAGTATTAAACAAACCTTCGTCGTTTGGTGCGCGAAACTGGTGAGGGAATTGCACACCCACCCAGGGCCCCGAGATTACCTCGTCAGAGCCTTCTAGCCTTTGACTCCGGGACTCCGGAGGGTGGGAATTTGAGAATCCCACGTTCGAGATGTTTGTCAGAGTGAGGATTGACCGCAAAGCCGGCGTTGATCTGCCGAGTGGCCGCACCCGGGGAAAAGTGCAAGGTGGCTGAAGCAGCAGTATTGATTGAGCCGCAACCGGAAATCGAACATCGGACAATCTGCATGCTCGTCTGTGACTATGTTTGCTGACGGCTGAGATATGTTGACGAGCTGACTGAGATCAATGCCAAGCTGACTAGCTTGGTCTGAACCGGGCACTGCACAAGCTTTGCAGAACAAGATGTTCAAACTCCGAAGGGCATTTGATCTGCAAGATATGTCTTGTCGCATTACTGCTTGGATTGCTGAGATTGTGTGCTTGCACTTCCATTCACCCACACGCTTCACCTGACCGATGACTGGGCACTGAATCTCACCGGCCCAAGCAGCCTCCAAAAAAAAACCATCCAAAGCAGGCGCCCGGAATTCTGAAACCACCGGCTCCTGCAGCGCCTTACGCGGTCCCGGTGGACCCCCCGCGCCCAAAAAAAGGCCCCGCAAGAAAGGCGAGCGCCGCCTGGAAGTCCCAGCCGCTGGGCGCACTGGCGGTGATCATGAGCTTCTGGGCCTCAAGCCCAGCTCGGAGCCGTCTGACGGACCCACTGGGCTGTGGCTCCAAGTGAAACCCGTGTTTTTGGGCCCCTTGGAAAAGACCACAACAAGCGAACCCCCCCCCTGAATTGTTTTTGAGCCACATGTTGGAATGCACCTGGTGTTCAGCTCTTTGGTCCGGCGAAATCCACTAGAGACCCGTCTCATGCTGAGAACAGGGATTGACCTGCCCCACACCTGGCAGCAGCAGGCTTTTGCTTAGTGGAGGTTGGAAGCAAAACCACCTGCAACTCGACTTGGTGCACCGCTGCATTGGCTGGAACGAAGGAGACGATCAGTACCTGCGCTGGCTCAGCCCATCTCACAAGCTGAGTTCATGCTTCCTCG